AATCTTCCATTACTTGTTTTGAATGAAAGCAGCGCTTCAACTTTCAAGTTCCCTCATGCACTTTTGCCATGAAAGGGTATTTTTGTAACATCGAATTGCAGCGCCTGTTGAGCGCATCGAGGCCTCCGTGGTTCCAAGCAGCGCTTGTACGGGGTCAAGGTTGTCCATTATTCACTCCACTCTCCAAAAAAACTATACCGGGCCGGTTTCCTTAGCTACCTTTGTTAAAACCGACACCATGCCGACACCAAGCATCCTCCATGCACCAAGTAACCCTGTACACATGTTAGGCCTGCGACCTTGTGTTTGCCCGAGCCCACAAAACAACGCCCTTACTACCGCGTCTAGCTTCAAACAAGGTCGAATAAATTTTCTCTGCAGACGACAGCTTTCACACTGCACGTACATGTACAATCATGTAGCCTATATACATGTACGTCGTGTACAATGAATGCACTGATACCCATGCGAAGCATAGGTCAAACGCTATACAAGGGCAATATATTCCTCTCGTTAATTTCGCATGATTGGATATGCATTAGGATGATGCATACACGATCCAATGTACATGTACATGCATGTTAATCTAAAATGTGGGTTGCAATGTGCACGTGCTTATCTACTTAGACTAGTCAACCGTAAGACCTCTGGCTTTCACAAAAGAAAAAAAAGTGAAACCATTAAACAAAATGGGTAACTATTCCACGGATACAACCCGCAAACTGTACCTTCAAAATATGAAAATCTAATGGCATATTTAGGCCTGTATAATTTCGAGACAAAAGTTGTCACAACTAATTTAACAATTTGTTCAACCATTTCCAACAAGACACACAAGTGCCACTTCTGAATCTGATCGACTTTTAAAAGATGCTGGCATCGTATTATTTTTTTTAATGGTAGTTTTGTAATTTGTATGAAACACTTCTTTTCTGTATTTTTTTTTTTGAAAAACTTCCAAAGATTTTTTTTTCAGGGATGGGCTACGCATTATGGGACATCAATGAACAAAATTAACACTTTGCCAAGTATTTTGACAATTTCAAAAATCGAAAATTGACATTTAATATCTGTCCTTGCTATTTCTAGTGAAATTCTATAGTACTATAGGTTCCATTAAAAAAAGGCTAGTATAGAATGCTAAAAAAAAATTGAATATTCTACTTGTTTAACTTGGTGACAAAAAGACACTACTGACAACACGGTATTTTTACAATAATGTCGATTTTGCACGACTTCCATGACCACATTTTTTCATTATGAGAATTGTTTTTATTTTGTTACAGAAAAAAATTACAATGGATACAGTGAGTATTTCCAGATGCCTTGCCATACCTTTTCACTGACCTCCAGAACTAAGCTTTTGAGAAATGATATATTTTTGTGGAAAATTCGTTATTGTAGCAGACGAAAAAATGTATTCAAAAGTACTGAGCAGTGAACATCAAAAGTAATAATTCTACATCAAATGAAATTGTTTTTCTTCTAACATCAAGCAACTGCATGGAATTATGACAATCACACACGACGACAAACTCAGAAAAAAATGCCCCATCCACCGTAAAAGACAACAAAATCATGAAATATTTTCCCATGTAACTACATTTTGTATTTTCAGCATTTTGTTCAGCCAGTTGTGAAAAGGCCAAGAGCATTCAGCATTGTGACTTCTGTCAGTTTTTTTTTTCAAATTAAATACAGAAATTCTACCAAGTTAGTTGTTGTGCAAGTTAAGTTCATTCTAAAATATAATTCACACACTGGACAGAGCATAGAGCAATGTTCCTTGCTCTATGGATAGAGAAAAGACAAACTAGAACTAAGTTGTTGATACTATGCACCAGTAGTAAAGCCTCTTTGTTAAAGACAGCCTGTACTATTCCAAAAAAGTAATATTTGTTAAATTGTAAGACACTTTTGAAAAAAAAAAATCGAACTGCAGTACTGAAGAAAAAAAAAACATCGAAAATATATTGTTTACAATCAGGAAAATAGAGTATACTTTTTTAGTACAAAGAATAATGCAGGATTTTTTTAAGGCAAATCATTTTAAGTTGTCCATGCATGCCACCATACGTAATAAAGCACTAGCATTCAAAATTCTTACAGAAAAACCCTTACAATAGCAACTCAACTGATTTTTTTTCCTTGTCAGTTTCTAAAAAGCTACAGAGTATATGTACCACCTTACCAAAATTCACAATTATGTGAAATTGGTCTATTTTATTTTCTTTTACGTCTAAAAGCACATCAAACATGGTTAAACATTATTTGATTTCAAATGTTTTTATGTATTCTGGGACTGTACCACTCAAATTATTTCAATACAATATTTTTACAAGACAAGAGGAGAAATCCTGGTACCGGGCTTGGGGTCAAAGGTCACTAGGGGTCATCAGAGCAGAACCAGCATGACAATTAAAACTTCACTTCAAAGCAGTGGAAATTAAATTTGGTTTAGATGGCGACTGACTCACCATCAAAATCCATGCTGTGCATTATAATGTTTTATCTGCCCCATCCCAACCCTATTTCATGCAAAATTGGGGTCTCTGATAAAAAAAGGATGTCCTTCGAAACAGTACAAACAAAACACAAAATCGGCACGGTGCACAAAATGAGTGGTGTGAATGGATTGAGACACATCTGCTTTGTTGCTTGTTTAGGCTGTGGGTAAATCTTCTATGGATGCCAGGCCATTGTGAATAGGCATACTCCAGAACCAGCCCAATACAGTCCATTGTAACACAACACCTGGCTTGCTGCATGCTGAACAAAACAGCGGCTGACCCAGCATGCCGGCTGCCACGCCCAGCCAAATTTTAAAGAAACATTCGTGGGTTTTCTGTGTGGGTTTTCTGTGTGGGTTCAGGGCTCTGGTCAAGAACCCATTGTATGATCCCACAGATTATGTTGAGAAATTTTGCCTGTCCATTTCTCTCTTCAACCTACAAAAAGCCCCACAAAAGGTTGTACAAATTCTGCAACAAAATGATATTGGGAATCTGTCCGGCCCTTTTTTTGCCTCTAAAAAATATAATTTCAGCCACTGAACAGTAGAAAAAAAGGTCAAAAAACTGTAACACACAGCAAGGGTCTGGTTATAAAATTATCAATTGGGTCAGTCTCAACGATTTTACAACTGCAACGCAAACATGTGCTACAGCCTGCTCAGTGGTTTATTGTTTTATGCCAGGTACTCTATTGTGAGAACAATCTAAGTAGATCCAAGAGAGGAATTTGTGAAGGTGTTGCTTTCAAAATATCTTGATAAATTATCAAAAGTTTGAATTTCATTTTACATGTATGTGTTTGACAGAGTAATACAAAAAAAGTAATGGCACTTTCTTTAAACATGTGAAAATTTTTTAAAATGTTACAAAAATCATGAGTTGTTAACTTTTTCGTTTGCAAGTTCTAAATCTACACATTCAGACACGGATACATAATGCATAACTTCTACTTTCAGTTATGCTAGATAAGATGAAGCCAATGATCTTTTTTATATCCTCATCCAGGAAATTGAATCCATCTTTTATCGTGAATTTTGCACACTAATTCCCGAAGGAAGGCTTTCCGTCAATTACTGAGACACTGTTCACTTTGATTTAAAAAAAAAAAAGTCAAAACACCGCATTGGCTTCACTACTCTACTATAACATTTCGATTTTCAAACTGAATTTCTATTACAGCTCAATTATGGATAATTGTTTCACAACTTCACTTAATACAATCCACTTTTTCTTTCCTTTTCATTTTATTGGGGTGAAAAGCCACCTCACCTACGTCAAGACACAAGTACAACTTGATCAGTATGTTTCAAAAACCATCTTTATTACCCTCACATGTTTTAAGTTCCGATTGTGGATTGACGGAATGAATCTTATCGAGATGAAACACGAGGTTTTTACAGGTTGGCAATTGTCAAAAAAAAAGATAGCAAAAGTGTATTGTAACAACAATGTGGGATTATGGAAAGAATGTTGCAACCTGACGCCACTTTTTTTTCTTCAAATATCATCACATTAAAGGTCAGTCAATGCAAAATTTTTGAAAAGACATGAATCTGGGACTGAGAAACATTTCCAATTTTGTTGGAAACTTCTCTTGACTCTCCATAGACTTTTTACACAACCACTGAAGTGGCGTCGGGATACAACATTCTTTGAGAACTGTAACTATTAGCTTTCCATCACAATCCATATTTCTCAAGTTGACTCATAATTGACAGATGATAGATCTATGCATACTGCTGATTCACAGCCCATGGATAAAATGATGTTCGGTCCACAGCTTGTGTGTGTGAGTCATTGCAAAATAATGTTCTTTCCATTTTGAAGGGTGTGGCGTGGCACTAGACTTGCGCAATAGTGAACTCCTTGTTGCGTCAGCGCTGTTTAAGATGTGTTGCCATGGTGATGAAGTTGTCTGGATGAAGTTCTAGAACATCCATTCTGCAATAATCATGGTGTAAGAGTTGAATGGTTGGAGTAATGTGGTAAAACACATCTGGCACTAGTTTGGGGTGGGTGTAGCAATGCCAAAAGCCGATGGGCTCCAAATCAGCTTCAACCGTGGAAATCCAGGTTCATCGTGTGCTCTTGACACTTGAGAGCATTAATTGTCACTGATAATCTGAGCTGCTTGATGTGTGATGAACTTCAGAAAAAGAAGTTGACTCGGTTAAATTTCAATGGTTTCTTCAAAAGTCATAGGGCTGACTCTTGTGCATGTGTTGCTCCACTGTTTCTACGTCACTGTTAAAGCATCTGGCATGCCTGGGGATGTCAGGATGTAAAGTACATTTCATTTTCAAGTCAGAGTCTGAGGATGTAGGCCTAGTTGGTACATTTCCGAACGGGCTGCTTGGGTCATGTAGATCTATCCACGGTCTGTGCCTATGCAGAACTAAGGTTAACTGGTTACAGTACTGTTATTTGTTTGCGGGTTGGAATTATCTGAGAAAGGGAACAAATCCTGAGTGGTGAAAGTTCTGCCATCTATGACCGGGCGATCGACTCTCCAGCCCCAAGAGGAGTTGACACGCCCATTTCTTGGGCCTCCTGAATCAGAGAACATATGCCACAGCAGCAGATCATCAGCAGATCTCCAATCAGGCCGCCTTCGATGCCTTTATTTTCTCTGACTTTACCACGGGTGACGACCAAGGCGTAGATATTTAGTAGCGGCACGAACAGCGACAGACCGCAGAGCAAGCAATCATCGCCCAGCGCTTCGGCCGTCTTGCCGTGGGTGTAGCACGGCACGAAGTACGAGAAAATGCACATCCCGATGTTGTCGAAACAACCGAAAATTCCATGTTGCCACTCACCCATTTTGTCGCTTTTTCTGCTGCGTCTGCCTACTGTCCAAAACAGAAGTCGAGAGAGATTTCTCAAGTCTACTCAGCGAGCAACAACACCTTGGCAAGATCCAAAGAGAAGAGGTCGGCAATTTTGGGCGTGGATAGTTTTCTCGATGACGAAATTTGTTGAAGTAATGAAATGAAGCAGACGACGAAAAAAAATCAAGTTGTTGCGCGCGCCACACTAGACCCTGCGCTGTATTTTTATTCAACGTGAGAACCGCGTGGCCGTACTGAAAGCACTAGCCAATCATCGCCCGCGTACCTGGACAAGAAGGTACACTCGACCAATCAGCACACGCGCTCGATGACGTCGTTGAATAATTATTCCTAATATGGCAATGAATGTCATTCTACCAGCTGGTTTGTGGCCGTTTTCAGAACTTTTGTAGGCCATAATACCATGATTTCTTTTTTTTAATACAAAAATGTTTACGCTTTATTGTGTTACAACAATACTGTGTCGCGTCCTTGATCAATACAGTTGTTCTGTCATAATCCCATATTATCCCCACATCATTTGACAAAATGCGGCGATCCATGTCGATGGGCGAAGCTAGCTAGCTACGCGTACGCGTACGTACGTACGTACGCGCTAAAACTGTGTCGCCAATAATTGTTACTCGCTTTGATTGTTTTCCCCTATTTTTGAGGGGCGAGGGCGCTTATTTTCAAATCAGTTTTTCTCTCTTAAATGTTGGGTTTTTTTTAAACTACGAAACATACTTTCTGGTTGTTGTTTTTTTAAACTACGGTGAACATACTTTCTAAATAACTCAAATACCGATAGGTAAGGTAGGCCTTAATATTTGCAAGCACGAGAGGGCGCTATTATTGAAAGCGAGGAGGAGAATCACGTCGCGTACGCGTACCATACTTAACCAACCAACATTTTGCGCAACTTTCTACTCCTCTTAAAAATGTATGAAAACTATTTAGAATCCCTTTTTGGTTAATTTCATTAGAAAGTGCACTTCTTTAAAACTTTTTTTTTTTAAATCCCATGCTTTTTTCCTGACAACTGAGGGCGCTGTTGCTGTGCCTGTGATGTCATTTCAGGAAGACACTATTCAATTTGGGTTTTCTGTTCAAATTGTGAACCTTAGCTCAATGAAAACATTTTGCGGGAATTGGCCTGCTCACTGGCTTACTGCCATGTACCTATTCAACAATCACCAAAGAAAAGAGCATTTACGACAGCAAAATATTGAAAATTGTATCAACTTTTTGTGCTGAAATAGCTGTAAAATTGAGGTTTCTGCCCGGAATGACATCACAGTTTTGTTCATGAATATGGAAATTCGCATTCAGCATAAAAACAAAAAAGGCATCAAAATAAACGGCAAAACGAAAATTGAAAATGAGGTTCAAAAGGTTAATTTTCGAGGATAGCATTTAAAAAAAATACTAAAATGAGGTTAAAAGGTTCATTTTCGAGGATAGCATTAAAAAAATACATTGCATGATCCCTTTAAGGAATGCCCCCTACAAACACTAAGGGGGGGGGGTTGGCTGGCTCATGATCAGATGGTCAGGGGTTCACATCCAGGCTATTGACCATTATGTTGTGTCCTTGAGCAATCCCCCCCCCCCTTGCCTCTCTCCCGGCACCCAGGAGCCTTTGGGTTCCGGTACCGCCGTTAGCTGGGTAGTAATTACAATCACCAAAGAAAAGAGCATTTACGACAGCAAAATATTGAAAATTGTATCAACTTTTTGTGCTGAAATAGCTGTAAAATTGAGGTTTCTGCCCGGAATGACATCACAGTTTTGTTCATGAATATGGAAATTCGCATTCAGCATAAAAACAAAAAAGGCATCAAAATAAACGGCAAAACGAAAATTGAAAATGAGGTTCAAAAGGTTAATTTTCGAGGATAGCATTTAAAAAAAATACTAAAATGAGGTTAAAAGGTTCATTTTCGAGGATAGCATTAAAAAAATACATTGCATGATCCCTTTAAGGAATGCCCCCTACAAACACTAAGGGGGGGGGGTTGGCTGGCTCATGATCAGATGGTCAGGGGTTCACATCCAGGCTATTGACCATTATGTTGTGTCCTTGAGCAATCCCCCCCCCCCCCCCCCTTGCCTCTCTCCCGGCACCCAGGAGCCTTTGGGTTCCGGTACCGCCGTTAGCTGGGTAGTAATTACAATCACCAAAGAAAAGAGCATTTACGACAGCAAAATATTGAAAATTGTATCAACTTTTTGTGCTGAAATAGCTGTAAAATTGAGGTTTCTGCCCGGAATGACATCACAGTTTTGTTCATGAATATGGAAATTCGCATTCAGCATAAAAACAAAAAAGGCATCAAAATAAACGGCAAAACGAAAATTGAAAATGAGGTTCAAAAGAAAATGAGGTACATTTAATAGGGCAAAAAAGTTGTAACCAGTATTTATGATAAGACATAGGGCCTATAGAATGAAGTTAAAACTGCACATAAAAATTGACCCAAAACTTAACATAAATTAATTTTAATTGAAATAAAGCAACTTATACACGATAAAACATATTAAATTAAAGAAGACTAATCCATACACCAGATGGACAAAAAGGTGACCAAATATTAACATAAATTTTTCAAGTTGACGCAATCTCTAGATACAGGATGAGACATATGAAATGTTTATATACAAAACTTGTAAAACAATGAAAATGTGCGAAGACACATGTACACAAATTTAAACAAGTCAAAAAAAAAGAGAGAAAAAAAAAAGACCAAAAAGAACATTTCATTTCAAGTGAAATGCCAACAACAGTACCGTAATTTTCGGAATATATTAGCCGCGGCTTATACGTTGATTTTGCCCATGAAAATGTTTACCGTGGCTTATGCACAGGGCGGCTTATATGCATGTGTATTTAATGTACTGGTATAAGAAAACATCTGTTGCTGAAATGAATTATCAATTAAAAAAGTCATTAACAAAAACCGTAAGCACGTCCCATGAAAAGGTACTGAGCAGTAAAAAAGTACGGCAGGCCGGCCGGCCATGCGTGAGAGAAAGCTCACGGTCTCTTCGACACTGCTTTCGACCAGTATCGCATCTTTTCTGCTCAAAATAGTGTTTCAAAATGAACCTGTTGCTTTGTCTCGGCAGGTTCAAAAACATTGGCAATGTCTGGAGCAACAGTGAACCCCACTTTGGGCGCGTACATCGCCGACGGAGATGAGCACTGGAATTTGACGATGTTCCCAAATGCCACAACTCCAACGTTTGACGACGCCCCACCCAAATATATCCAGGTATTAACCGTTTTTGAGTCCTGCATAAATTTGTCAGTAGCATCACAGAATCCCCTGCATTTAAATAGGACTAGGAGCCTCACAGTCACAGCCGGTGTTGAGCGTCACAGTTGCCCATTGTATACGCTTTAGCTAGCCGGTACTCATCATGCTTGGTCCCCCCCCCCCCAAGGGTTCACTTATATCCAGCGGTGTGTCCAGCGTTCTCACCATAGGGGGGAAAGTGGGTGGGTGGGGAGAGCAGTTTCTGTAGCATTCGGTCAATTCACCGGTCATCTGGCCTCTGTAAAATCAAAAAGGGATGGTGGGGAGGGGGTTGGGGGAGTTGGGGAGGCTGGACAGCATCTTTCGAAAAAAGCCGCTTGTGAAGTTTTTTATGGGGGGGGGGGGGTGACACTGTCTCAGCACTGTGTCGTTTTTATGGATTTATCAACAAATCAATACAATGTAATACATTGTAATACAGATTACAATGTTATAAGCTGTAGAAGGTCTACAATACAATGCAACACTATGTAATATGTATTTTAATTATGGGTTCAGTTTCTGCAGAGTGTTATATTTGAGAGGAGTCCGGTAGTTTCATATCAGGAATTTGCATGGAACTGGGGCCCTAACATAGGGCTAGGCTTAATTATACTGTAGCCCATTCTTACAAGTCTGCAAACAATGCATAATTGATGCAAAAACAACCCAACCTATGGAGTACCGAAGTGAATACATCCCGCGCACGATTATGTGTGTAAAAGACATTAGCGCGTGATTCAGCCCGTGAACCAACACGCCCGCGTTCTCCATTCGTTTGCACTACATTTCCTGCTAAAATGACGTCACACTTCGGTACCCTATCCTATCCTCAAAGCCTTGTTGTTATTTTCGAAGTAGTTTTTCTAATGTTTTTGTTTTGTAGGACCTGAAACAAGCCAATAAAGTGATAATCACGGCTCTGCTTGCATTCATCATGGTCGCTATGGGGTGTATTGTCACTATCGACGATTTCAAGAGAGTGGTACGTATGCATGTATAGCTAACGGATTGGGGACGGGGAACAATAAAAAATAATGACAAGGAAACTCTAAAACGAAAGAATTACTTTCTTTGGGCCCAGAGCACCAGCCTAATGGCCTCTTGACTGTACCTATCTTGACTGACTGACTGACTGATTGACTGACTTTGACTGTCACTTGTGACTTTGACTGAAAAGAGTCGGGCAGTGCTATCATATAGGATTACCCCGTAACACCAACAAATGGGCTAAATCCGGTCCATTGTGTAAACCAGATGCACAAAACTGTTCATTGAAAAGTCCTTCTGAATCAATTGAATAGAATTGTGTGCGCTCTGGGACCTGCTTTACTTGGCATGCCTTAATTGATTGTCTTATTTGAAGGAAGAATCTTGTTTGTAATCGTTCTATTATCTGCACATCAATGAGTTCCAAAATTCAACCAGATTTTGTCATTGTCCTGTCCATTTATTTATTTATTTTTTTCATTGATGAGTTTGGGGTGTTTTTTTCCCTTCAAATCATTATTTGCGGAATTGGATTCTCGTGTAGTGCCACTGTGCCCAAGTTAAAAAAAAACGTCAAGTGGTTGTATACTGCGTAGTTAAGTTGTAGATTTTAGAGACCCGCAATCTGCTACAGATAAGAGTACACAAGACATGCCTGAAAGTGTAGATTTACCAGGCTTCGAAGTTAGCGGTAGCCCGCTAGCCAAATGCTAGTCAAAACAGCGGCGGGCTAGTCAAACTATTCCTTAAGTAGCTCGGCTGGCAAGTCAACAAATTATTGGGATACGGCAAAGATGAAAGGACAGGAAGAAATAAATCATGAAATTCAGAAATCGAACCTGTACCAATCTGTGTATTATTTTATCAACTGTTTTAAAGGGTTATACTTAAATTATAAGATCGGTTTATTAAAAGCACTGAGAAATTGCCTCAGAATAGATGAGAATTCAGTTGGAAATGGGTAAAAAATGAGTTTTACTTACGACCTATTTTCGTACCTAGGTCTCCTTATTCGATTGCGTCTGTTTTCACATCGCGTACTTGCGTGAGAACGAAAATAATAACGACGCAAAGATTAACCTACCTACATCTGATGGACATATATACTGATGGATGCTAGATTTCGTTTGGATCACGTTTTAATACAGTTCTTATCAACGGTCATTTCAGATTTGATTATATGAAAATAAATTCTTCAAGTTTGTTCAAAAAAATTGTCCGCCACAACATTAGATCGAGTTCCACGGGTCCACGCGGAAGTTTTCGGAAGTGACAGGTCAATTTTTGGCACGATATTTCTCTTTCACGTCATGCAATTTTTCAGTTTCCATACAATTCTGAGGGTGATTTTTTGAGCAATCAATATACCAAAACTAATTTAAAAAACTCTGACTTTTACACGTTAATTTTCCTTTTCGAGGGGCCCTGAAGCGTGCTACCAGGGGTCAACTTTCAGGCTCTATACACGTTTTACATGTATGCACATTGTTGTTTATGAAACAATATAAAAGAAAAACATGTGGGCTAATGAGAATGCCCGCGGGCTAGTTAAGAGTCTGTTTCAGTAGCCCGGCTGGCTAGCCTGGCAATTCTGTTATCAGATTTCATAAAAGCAATTGTGTAAAAAAAACCAGAAGAATATTCTGGTGAAAAACCCACGGAATCAGGTAGAGACTGAAAACCTAATCCACATGTGGCCCTGGCAGGAATCGAACCCGGGTCACAGTGGTGGAAGGCGAGGAAAGTACCGCTGCGCCATCCTGACTCTCCCTGACCTCAGTCCACACAAGCATAATTTTTGAGGGTAAAATAGCATTTCTTGTTGTTCCCCCTTTATTTTTTTAAATGTTTTTTTTTCTTCCTTTAGCTTCGTCGTCCATTCGGTGTTTTAATTGGATTTCTCTCCCAGTTTGTGATTCTCCCTCTGACTGCTTTTGGTTTGGCCCACGCCCTTCAGCTCAAGGCATCCTTTGCATTGGGCTTGTTGGTCGTAGCCACTTGTCCTGGGGGTGTTACCTCCAATCTCTATACCTACTGGACGGAGGGTGATGTATGTCTCAGGTAAAATATGATTCAAATTATTTTTTTTTGGTTTGGACGGCATTAAAGGTAATATACAACATTTGCTTTTGCTGTAATTTTCAGAAATGGATGGATTTGAGGCTTGGTATTTTATAGCAGATGTTGTTACACTGACCTGTTTAAAGTTTTGTGACCGATCACGTGGAAACCAGATGGTCACGTGGTACTTTGACATACGTATATTAAAATTTTGAAGTGGAAATAATAAGAATTAGACTGGAGCCGAGTTTGAACGTGTGATCTCCAGTTTGCAGGTTCAGCTCCCACTTAGGGCGATTTCTTGAACAATTTTCTCTCGCCCCCCTCAGCATCACCATGACGACCATGTCCACGACGCTCGCTATGGGAATGATGCCTCTCAACCTCTTCATCTACAGTCGGTCGTGGACGGGTGAGAGTGCTGTGATACCCTACAGTAACATCGCCATCGCTCTGGTGCTCATTCTGGTGCCCGTGGCTCTGGGCATGCTCGTCAAGTACAAGAAGCCTGCCTGGTGTAAGCTCATCACGCGGGTAAGAGCTCCACAAATCTTGGGCTTGTTGTGTCCAATTTTGTTGAGTCATTGGATAATTATAAACTCCACTCTTAGGAGGCGTGTTTCTTGAGCTGTGGGGCAAGTCCGCGTTTTCTGACTTACTGTCTTTTCGTTTCTTGTAGCTTGGCAGCATCTTTGGTCTGTTGGCCATCTTCGTCAACATCGTCTTGAACGGCATCATCAACCCCTCCATGTTCACCTCTCCCTGGCAGGTCTGGCTGGCGACCTTCCTCCTCCCCTGCCTGGGTTACGCCTTTGGCTACCTCTTCGCGTTCATCGTGCGGCGCCCTCACGTCGAGTGTCGCACCATCTGCTTCGAGACCGGCGCGCAGAACATCGGCCTGGCGCTGGCGCTCGTCTTAATCACCTTCCAAGACAGCGAGTTTCTCAAGGACATCTTCGTCATCCCGTCTCTGATCGGCCCGTTCTTGATCCTCGAGGCGCTGGGATTCGTCATGCTGTATCTGGCTTGGAAGAAGTGGTGCCGTGGTGACAGTGATGAGAACGGAGAGACAAGCAAAGAGGAGCCGATTGAACCAGTGGAAGCCACGTCCATGAAGAAGGTCGAAGAATTTCAAGACAACACAGAACCTAATGAATCACACTTCAATCACATTTGACAGAATTTTACTCAAAAAAATGTGTACAAAAAAATTCAAAAGCGAGAGATGTACAATTTTAATAGTTGGTTTTGCCTTCCAACGGATAATTCTATAAGCACTGTATACTTTGTGGTTTCAGAGAGCTTGTTAGACTATAGTAGCAATTTGACAAGTTGTAAGCTGGAGGTTGTGGGTTTGATTCAAAACCAAGCAAGCTTGTGACTTTTTATTTCGCACAAGCTGGGAATTGATGTGAGCAGGTCATAAGTGATTTACTTTTTACGCAATTTTAACGTTTTGAAAGGAAGTGTAATGTCCGTGACAGAGCCTGTCAATCATGTTATCTAAGGCCCCCCCCCCCCCAAACAAATCTCCAGTTTCTGGTCGCCGTTGCCATGCATGTTGGCAAAATTATAAAATAAAATTTCAATGTAAGATGATGCCCCAAACCACCAAACTCACTGGTTTGACCGGAATCCTGCTGCTGCACAATTTTAACGTGTTTTTAGATGGGGTTACGATCGAGTATACGCTTTATGTGGCCTCTCTGGGCTCCCATATATTTTGCACTAAATTTAGTCGGGCACCATTTGCAGGTTGTGTTGTTATTTTGAAATTGTGCGTCTGGAAGCCAGACTGAGGGAGCAATTGTCGTGTGTCTGGAACCTGTAAACGCCCAACCTCGTCCCCAGGGTGTCGAGCAGTACGCGCCCACCACTACCTGCTCTCTCACCCTGGTATTGGATCATTTGCATGTGCAAGATTTTTGCACACGTATGCAAATGAGGAACAGTCTGGTGCCTGGATATGCGTTACACATTAGCGTTTGTTTTTGTATGCGGTGTCTGGGGTAAAAACAGAGTCAATTCGTAGCAGCGCGAGCACGGCGTGAGTTACGAAAACACGATTTATGAAATCAAACTGTTACGATCTTATCAAGACAACATGCAGTATCATATTTCATATTAATATGAGCAAATTGGAAAGGAAATTATTATTTTCGAGAAGGCGTGGACGAATGATCGTGAAAACACGTACTGCACGTTGTGAATATATAGCACCAAGTACACGATAAAAATCCATTACTAGCCAATTGCGGTATCCAATGAGGATACAGGAAGAAAGTTTCCTATCCAGGGTTTACTATTGGAAACGCGGTTGGAAATAAAGTAAGCACTGGGGACGAGGTTGGTAAACGCCTTTTAATTAATGCGATTATGTAAGGGAGCAGACTAATGACCAGCCTGGCAGCACATGCACGATGTCGATGTCAAGGCCTTTTTGATCTTGCCTTCAGTGTCCAAAAGAAGCTGCATATACTGTATTTGCTAAATCGTGTAACTATATTGTATACATGTTATAGGTGTCTTAACTGCCAAAATATATATTTCAATGAAATGTTTTTGATTTTTTTTTTAAGTTTTAGTTTGTGAATATCACTAATACTATCATGAATAATTTGTAACGTACATGTATGTATTGCATTGCATGTAAGAACGTTATGGTTTAACACATGGTACCAATAATTCATTTCTTGCAGGCGCATGAAGATTTGATAACCTCTACAACTTGACACACACAAAAAAACTCTTGAAACCTTGTAATTTCACCACATTCGGGACAGAATGTTGCAACCTGACGCTACTTCAGTAGCTGTGTACAAAGTCTATGGAGAGTCAAGACAATTTTCTAAGTATTTCCTAACGAAATTGGAAATATTTCTGTCACAGATTCACATCTTATCGTCATTTTTGCAATGACCCACCTTCATTGAGATGATATATGAAGAAAAAGGCAGCATCAGGTTGCAACATTCTTTCCCACATTCGTCAAAACTTATAAAAAAAATATCATACTTTATATTAATAAGATTTACTTATTATGTGGAGGAAATCTACTGGAAGCTAAACGAAAAAAAAAAAATTGTGTCTTTTCCTCCAAACGCGATCTTGTTCACATGATACAGGCACATACTTCGCTGATCTGGTACCTAGTACCATTACATTGAGTGAACAGGTTTACCTGACTCAAGCGTGCTAGTCTGAAATCCCATGTGCAATGCACATACAACGACCACAAAGATATCAGGGACCTGACTTATTGTCATGAATTTCCATTACGTCGTCTGCACTTGTTTTCGCCATTTTTATGCCCCGCGGCGAAGCCGAAGGGGCATACTGTTTCCGCCTTGTCCTTCCGTGGGTGGGTGTGTGGGTGGGTGTGTGGGTGAGTTTGTCTTACATACGCAGTGTGGACTTCCGAACAAAAGACGTCCACATAATGTAGGTAGCACCGACGTTGTGTGGACTTACCCCACGTCCACACAGTGTTTCCCCATTTCTGGAAAACAGGTTTAGAGGCATTTTTGGGTTAGGTTTATCTGTAGCAGAATGAAGAGAAACACTAAAGGGAATCATAGAAAAAAAATTGGGTTGAAAGAGTTTTCACAGTTTGAGAAAAATGAGTTTTTTCACTGGTTTTTCTTAACTACACGAAAGCAATGGAAAGTCCACACTAGTCATGTGAAACAAGTATGGGTGGGTGGGTGTGTGTGTGTGTCCAGACAAATCTTGTCAGCGCGATAACTTGAGAAATACTTAACATATGAACTTCAAATTTGGTTTGTGGATTGTTCTTGGTAATCCTAAGAAGCCTTTTGCATTTGGGGCCAAAAGGCCAAAGGTCAAGTTCACAGTGGCTAAAACAAAAGAAATCTTGTCAGCGCGATAACTTGAGAAATACTTAACATATGAACTTCAAATTTGGTTTGTGGATTGTTCTTGGCAATCCTAAGAAGCCTATTGCATTTGGGGCCAAAAGGTCAAGGGTCAAGTTCACAGTGGCTAAAACAATAGAAATCTTGTCAGCGCGATAACTTGAGAAATACTTAACATATGAACTTCAAATTTGGTTTGTGGATTGTTCTTGGCAATCCTAAGAAGCCTATTGAATTTGGGGCCAAAAGGTCAAGGGTCAAGTTCACAGTGGCTAAAACAATAGAAATCATGTATTTATTCTGAGATTATAGGGATTAGGGATTAATTCATATAAAACCTACAGAAGACACTAATGCTGTCAATGAATGTTCCGTGTGACCAAGGTACATGTAAGTTGATGTTAAAAGAGTGGTGTTATGTCATGGGAACTGTCACCGTTGCGGGGCATTTGTGTTTGTAAACACACCTGACTTGTTTACCTCTATTTTCAGGGTGAAAGCCTCACGTTTTGAACTCGGTGTGTCATTTCGGTAAAATATGTGAGTTTCGTATTTATACTCAAAAATGCCTCTTCATGTCACATTTTTTTGAAATCTGGTCTAGACTTACATGTGTATAATCATATCATTAAATAACTACTAATTATCATGAATATGGTAATTTTTGCACTCAATTCTATTTTTATATGAGAGGTACTATGGCTTTCTCGCATCAACCTGATATTATTAATTTTTTTGGTTTTATTGGATATCAGTCTGAAATACTGAAATACATTCCTTATCGAAGAACAATTTTGCAGAATATTAATCATCCAATATTGGCTGGTTGGTACTCTTTTTATGCTAGAAAATAGTAATCAATAAATTTACATGGAAAGAATTGGGAAAAAAAGATGATTTGTTTTTGTGTGTGGTTGTGTATGTTGTTTTTAAGGTATTGTGTATCATTTGTCATTTGTGCATTTTTTTCATTTTTTCATTTGAAGCAACAAAAGTGTTCAAAATCTAAATAAGGGTGCTTAAAGGGAAAATACATTTGCAAACATCAAAAAATTAAAACTACCAAATCATTTTGAAATACCTTGCTGGACTGTTAGTGAATGACAGTGTAAAGCATCCTGTAAAATCATGGCACCTGGTATACTGTCATTTTCAAGAAAAGTGGTATTTTTGTATCAATTTCCAACGCTGATCGGCCGATCAGCGTTGGAAAAAACTGGCTTTTTTTCAAATACTGGCCCCAATTGACCATCGCACTTGTTTGCAATCGATTACAAACCTATGAACGGGTACGAGCCAGCTAGACTGGTTCCCTGACCTTACAATTCCCCAATGTATGTAAACTGCTCTGTTTCTTCTTATATGGAGTAAGGGAACCAGACTACAGGAAAATGATTGTTTTTTCTTGGTTTTTATAGCATTTTCGAACCCAAAACCTCAAAAAAGTCAGTGTAACTATATTTGCTATATATTTCCAACCCCCCAATTCCATCCATTTCTGAAAATTACAGCAAAAGCAAATGATGTATATTCCCTTTAACAAAAAACCTGATGAAGTTTTAGCTACGTGAATGCTGTATATTCCAAGAAAACAATATTCTAGGATCTCGATTTCAATTCAAAAGTTGCCAAGTCATGTTTTGAATTGTGCCCGAAATCAGCGTCTGGGACACTTTCTCATGCAGCTATACGATGTTGCGCACTGAACCGACGAATAATAGCAACCGCGGGTGCGTCGTGTCAAGGCTTGCGTGCACCCATTCATGGCTTTGCCAAATAAAAATTGAACTATAACTGAAATTTCCGAAAATTCGTCTTTGGAAATGACCTTCTTTCATTGTTTTCTTCAAAATGACAGCATGCCAGAAAGAATAATTTCACAGGGAGTTTAGTGCCATTACTACATCTCTAAAGTATAAACCAAGTATGATTTTGAACAATAATTTCGTCAGTTACTTTTTGGATAGCTGCAAACGATATACTCTACCTTGAATATTTCACAGGAGTTTAGAAAAGTGCAGATTTGAAAACGCATTTAAGAAATTTAATATGGGAATAAATGCATTGTAAAGTCACCAACTAAATACTTATCTATAAAGAACATCCATACGAACAGAAATGCCAACCAAATACAGATATCTCAGTCTCACTAAACATTCTTTATTCCCATTTTTTCTCAAATTGTCAACAGTTCTGGGGTGCTAAAGTATTCAAATTAAGTAAACGTGCCAACTCATAGATTCTTTAACATTCACCCCTCCGAGAAAAAGTGCTACTTTGCAAATTACCATGACGACGACAAAATAACACACTACGATCCACTTGGACACAAGTCCGTAAGAAACACAGTGAGGTATACAAGTGTTTGGTGGAAGTTTGTCTACGCAACTCCACGCTCACCATCGAAGAATAAGGATGTAGTCCCTAAAATGTACATGGAGAAATAATGCAGTATACAACTCTAATTCATGTATATTCCGTTTGAAAGTAAGGACACGCCCAGTATTAAAGAAAAATTTGCCTTTTGAGAATTTTTGTTTTCATTTGGAAGCAACAAAATTGCTCAAAATTTTAAGTAAGGTGCATAACAACTAATGTGTTGCACTTTCAGCTCAGTGGATAATATACAGCTTTAGAAAACATCGTGCAAAACGTCTGCACAATATTTTAGGTGTTGGGCACCTATTGACCTATCGCCGTTTGTGAGTTAGCCACGCCCCTTAGACAACCCCATGGGATTTTGTACGCTAAATTTGATTTGTCTCGGATGTTGCGCGTTCCGCGTCCATTTGTATATCATGTCATTGGTCAATATATTACAAGCTGCGATTCTAACGCGATTCTACCGCGATATGTTGATTTTGAAGCCATCTTCAATGTCAGTTTTAATACTTCCAAACAATATCATTTCAGGCAAAATAATTTTGCAGGGTATTTGATACCAGTCCTATCTTCACTTTGAGTAAGGTCTCTGGCCTTAAAATTGGCAGGAACTTTTCTGGGTAAATGCGTGGCTTTGAACAAAAAAATGTTACAGACTTTCTGTAAATTGAAATAATTCTAATGTACCTACATTTGCCAAGACTGTACACAAATATGATGTTGTATACTGCATTTTTTCTGACAAAAACAGCTCGCTGAAAATATATTCGTTTCCACTTGGAATAATACTGTAAGAATTTTGATAAAAATAATATAATGAAACACATGACTTAAAATAGCACATTTCGATTTGAGTCCTAGTGCGGCTGCTATGGCGACTGAACCACACTAACACAGACTAACAATCCAAACTGCCTTGGTCACAGGACCAATTGCGGACATGACCCAATTGAGAATAAAAGTTCTGTCTTTACACTTAACATGTAACTACTCTCCTGTTGGTGTCCTTTTTTTTGGTTCGATTTTTAGTCCCAGATCCTTAAAATTGCTTGTCAAAGTTTAACCAAAAAATAAAATGGCCTCCAGAAAAACAAATTACCGATTCTCTCTCAGATTTATCCATGTTTGTGATCCATATGTATTTGGGCAATTCCACACTAATGGGCCAATTAGATACGTTTATGGAGGTTGCATATAAAGGGTAAAAGATGAGCTAGTGTTTTCTTTATTTTTTCCTATACCTTGCCAAGTTGAAAGTGACTAGGACAAGAAAATACAAGAAATGATATCTTTTTTATTTGAGAAAATAACAGTTTTTTTTGTCTGTGTTATACGTAACTAACATGGACAGACACACTGCAAGGAAAAGGCACTTTCATTTGGCATTATCACCCCATTTTACATTGCTGTCAAGCGAAAATATAACCGTTTTTGCACTGGCTTCAAAGTTATGATGTGATTAGGGTCACGTACGAACAGGGACAGACACTTTGTGACAAATGTCCAGTCTGTTCGTACGTTTAAATCCTGATTATAAAATATCAAACAATTCTTCACATTGACTCTGAGTTTTCTAGGTTTTGACTAATGGTCAAAAAAGTTCAAACGTTAAACAACTTGTTACTATCACCCATTTGGTTGGCGCGGCCTAAATACACTAGGCAGTATGTTAAAGCAGCACAATTCAAACGAGGCCCAACTCGTCATTTTGGTGGTAAAAACACAAATTCTGTATTCGTTAACTATATTTTGACAATACAATGTCAAGACAATATTAAAGGTAACAGACTTTTTCCCCCTTTTAAGATGGAACAACATGTCAAAGTAGGGGATTAATATTCCATACATTTTTGTACTGGCTCAAAATGCTTTAATGGTGGATCCGTCATTCAAACATTTCATATTAAAGGGAAAATACAACATTTGCAAACATCAAAAAATAAAACTACCAAATCATTTTGAAATACCTTGCTGGACTGTTAGTGAATGACAGTGTAAAGCATCCTGTAAAATCATGGCACCTGGTATACTGTCATTTTCAAGAAAAGTGGTATTTTTGTATCAATTTCCAACGCTGATCGGCCGATCAGCGTTGGAAAAAACTGGCTTTTTTTCAAATACTGGCCCCAATTGACCATCGCACTTGTTTGCAATCGATTACAAACCTATGAACGGGTACGAGCCAGCTAGACTGGTTCCCTGACCTTACAATTCCCCAATGTATGTAAACTGCTCTGTTTCTTCTTATATGGAGTCAGGGAACCAGACTACAGGAAAATGATTGTTTTTCTTGGTTTTTATAGCATTTTCGAACCCAAAACCTCAAAAAAGTCAGTGTAACTATATTTGCTATATATTTCCAACCCCCCAATTCCATCCATTTCTGAAAATTACAGCAAAAGCAAATGATGTATATTCCCTTTAAGGGCTTGAAGCTATAAATGTAGCCTATGTGTACACCTTAAATCAACTGTCAAGACTCAAAGAGCATCCTTAAAAGGCACGTAAGAACATTTGCATTTAGTAAAAAGAGTACCTATTGATTTAATCCCAAATATGGGCAAGGAATTTGTCGTTAATAACGACAAATTCCTTGCCCACATTTGGGACCTGCTGGTACCAATACTATGAAAGTGTTTCGCCTGAACTTATATTATTTAGAATTGAGAAAAAGCTTGAGAAAAAAAGTTTGAGAGAAAGATTTTTTGTCCACTTTTGGTCAAAAACAGGTCTTAATTGGCTAGAATTTTGTTCAAATTCGTTCAAGTGTTGTACTGATACCTGTGGCTTTTTTTTCAAAGTTAAACAAATAAAATAACTAGAACTGGGTTTGAACCTGCGACCTTCAGATTGTTGTAGTGCTCTATACCTACAGAGCTATCCAGCAAATGTTGGCGGTATCCCCATTCGTCAATGTATTTTTCAATCAGAAAAATTTAGAAGCCATAAACGGTGCCATATAGCAGGGATCACGCCCAAAGTCATGATACTAGCAACGTATTAGCAATGATGCAAGCCCGGGAAATGGCAAACAGGGACAGGATACAGCTGTTATCACAAATTATAAAATAAACCACAACGGGAAAACGACTATATTATGTGCATTTATGTTGACTCTGACAGTTGATTTCATGTACATACATTGCTACAGGATACTAGAAGCCCGAAATCAGAAATATTTAATTGAAGTAGATTAAATGACTTTGAGTCAGTATGTACTATTCTTGCCCTACCATGTACTTTAAAATGTAGCACCACCATAAAAGGGGCAAAATGTTATACCTGTATTGTAAAAAAAATAAAAATAAAGTTAACAAATGCAGAATTTGTTTCCGTTTTTAAGTAGCATTTTTGGTATCATGGGGTCAATCCCAACACTTTAATAAAAAAAACGGCACTTGTGCGCGACATGTTAATTAAACCCGCAATTTTGGACATTTGACCTTGGTACCCTGACCCCCATCCGACCTTGGGCAACTTAAGAATGGCCACTTCAGAACTACCCCGTGACGGACAATGGCCTGGTAGCATCAAACCTTTTGTGCTCAAATTGTTAATTAAACTCCACCTAGCTCCTGGTCTATTTGTGACTTTATGTCTGTCCTTCGTTACGTACGTTACTCTTGTACAAACAATTTCCACCATATTTTCTAAAATACAATGTACATGTATATCCTTTGCAGGTGAGGATATTTGTCCAAAGCTTGCAATGTTTACAGCAAAAAACTGAGAGACAAAGATCCTAGTTTTATTATCAAAACTCAAAAGGTCTCCACAAGGGTCACACTTTTGGGCCCATTAGTGTGGAATCACCCATTTTCCGTTTAAGCTCCTGAGTAAAACTTTGGAGAACAAAAAGTAACAAACTACATACAGAGGAGGTAGGACCACAATGCAGATAGGAATACAACTGAGAAGCTTACAAGAAAGACAAAGATCACTCCTACATGGCCGGTGGGAAGACACAGTTTTTAATAAAAGACCGTCTTGGACGACAAACTACTACAGACGCTTCAGAGTAGGAGGGAACAATGAGCACAATTTCTAAACGAATACGGCTCACTTTTGACCGAGGATAATTTACAGTTATGTTTCTGAAATGCTATTGCAGGAAAATCTCCCGGAAAGCAATTAAAATCTTTGCATATATGACCAAACACTTCGCAAAATGTGGTCACTCCTATTTTGTTTCTTATAAGAACCATTAAAATGTATTCCTTTGTTGCTTCACGAAGTAGTGATGGCAACTATCGGGTATCTTACTATTTCCAAAATGAAGAGATTCCTCCTTTTTCCAAAGGTATATTAACAATTTTTTTAAAGGATATTTACCCAACAGTTAAATATATTAGTTTTCTTTTATTATCAAAGCAAAACTGGCAAAATTGACTTTAATATTTTATGGGCTGCTACATGTACTTTATTTTGTTAGCTGGACAAAGTTTTGGACACATTTTTACAACCTAAAGACTCAACAGAAGGTGTTACATGAACTCCTTTCTTTGTCTGAAAAGATTGGGTAAAAATTACAACTGCGTTCGACTGGACCGACGTATCTTAAACAAGGGTGACGGCGACCATTTAGATAAAATATATGTACTTATGTATTACCATGGCAACAAATCTATGCTACTTACACTACAAGATCGCTGTCGAGTGTTTCAGTAACGACAGACCACTAACAAGGACCCATATGACCCGAACTTGCCAATGTTTTTTTTTCTTTCTTGAAAATCATTAATTCTTACAGACATTCATCAAATACTTAAATCAATACTTAAATCTAAAACCACTCGTTTACGTAGTGTTATTTCTTTCTTTCATTTATTACAAATTCTAAAATCTACGGCCTTAAAACCTTTCGGTTCATATAAACAATCAATAAAACAGTCAACGTATTTTTTGGTGATTAAGAATAATAATTTACTTTTTAATTTTTTTGTTTTGTCGATAATATTCATACTAACCCATCTGATACAGTTTTTTTTTTGCACACGTTAATTTACATACTCAATGTACATATACAGAGCTAACAATCTATGGTACATTTGTATATATATATTTTTTGTCTCCCCAATACGAAGCTATGATACAGTTCACAAGAGTAAAACAAATTTTAAAAATTCCCCGACTGCGTAGCCCGCTACGGCAGCTTTGCCCCAATCAAACAACACAAACTCACCATTATACAATACATAGTCATGTACACTATATACAGTGTGTTGTGCGAGCAAGACCGAGGTGCCCGTAGTCAGAATTTTTCGTTAGAATTTAGTTTGTTATAACTCTTAAATTAAAAAATACCACACACACAAACACACCACACATAAAAACAACTCTGTTAACAAGCACGCACATTACACTTGACAAAGCCCAGAGTGTGTGCACATTTTCCAGTAATTAATACTTCATGCACATTCATATATTTTTGAAAGCGCTCAGTTTTAGTATTTTTTTTTTTTTTAGTTCTTACATCTTCAAACGTAAAACAATAAATTAAAAGATAAACCACAAAAACAAAAACTACAATGATTGGATAATGATTTAAATACAAGAGCAGCCAGGCTAGTTTCGAGTTAAAGGGTCCATGCGTGACCATACGGGGGCGCTATGTGGAAACCAAACAATGGACACAGATTTATATTTGGTCCAATTATGGGCAACGCTATATTTGTCTGTTTTGTCTAAGCATGATGGAAAATGGTCCTGAAATGCTCCCATATGACAGAAATATCAGCAGATCTTGCTAAGAACAGAATTTTGTTTAGGACAGGAATTAGCTTAGCAGAAACTGGATACCAGCCAAAATATCCCATGATGCAGATGACCAGTGACTGGTACTCTGCAGGTTTTTAGTAAGGCTGGTCCGAATTACTGAGCGTCTTAAGAAGCTGGCGCCTAGTCTTGCTATAAAAAGAAAACCGTTTGTCAACAGTTTCAGGAATAATGGGCCGTTCGTACGACACATTACTTCATCATTTCCTATATTTGGTTTAACGTTCAAAACCTCGACCTTGACTTATTTCATTCTGACTGTCATTTTTCCATCTGATTTAGGCAATTACTTTGAGGCCAAAGAAACGATGTTACTGTTCCCAGAAAACAAAAACATAGTATCTTTTTCTTAACACCTCAACAAACGGAAGAGTGGGTTTCGCACACAACCGTACGTGGCAAGTATCATCCGAGGTCCCATTTTACAAAACATGATTTTTAATAATTTAATTTTTTTCGAAACTGTATCTTTGCCGACCCAAATCTGAACCAGCAGCTTGGGTCTCTGGACTAATTTCTTTATAGTTATTTTGTCTTTACATGTATATTTACAAACCACGTCGATATTTTTCTTACACAAGTTAATTTTCACAAAGAGCAAATGATAACATTTTCGCGAATGTGAATCCTTACAGTCTACAAAAAGAGGACTGAGATTAACAAGAATGCAGCAAAATTCAAAAAGCTGAATCTGGGGTAAAAGTTTGTCTCAAATTAAGAGTGTCGTCTCCATTTCTTCCCTACCCCCCCCCCCCCCCCCAATCCTTGTAGTCATTACATTTTCAACTACGAGGGTCATATATACCTAAATCTAAATTCACACAATTCATGACAATCCAAATACATTTTATCACCAAAGAAATATGACTAACTAAAGTTATTGGTGACGTTGTCTTCGTTTTTGAATTCTGGAACAAAATGCGGGCCAATGTACATTTTAATCAATTTTCATTCGGACAAAAACAACCGAGATCTTAAACTGTACTCGAGCTCACTAATAGAACTTGAGCTATACTACCGTACGTTGGGGTCTTATTTTGTCAATATGACAGTTTGTAAGACTTTTTTTTTTACCGACAGAGAGTAACAGCTAGCAAAACATGGATTTTACTTCCCCCCCCCATAATTCTACCAAAAAAGTGTTATTTTTTTACAACTCAAGAGAGGGCGCTTTTACTCGGCCTTCAATATTGTCATTAGGTTTGGCTAGGAAACTATAACCTAAAGTAACATATTCATTAAAAATAAAAAACAGTTTGAAAGGGCCAGGCAAATTTTCATTAAAAAAAAATCATCACACCACCACAAAATCACGTCACACGGGCGGAAAATATTACTAAAATATTTCATCATCTACACAGATAATACAAAAGCAGAAACCAATCAAGTACAATGTGAGCCCAATTTCAAGGAGCTGGTAAGCAGATAATAAAATTGCTTAGCAAATTAATGTGCTAAGCAGAAATGAGCTGAGAACCAGTCACGTGCAATACACATCGCATGGCATTTTGATTGGTAACCTGATTTGGCTAAGCATAAAGTTTCTATGCTTAGCAGCTTTATGTAATTGGAGCTGGCAGGGGCTAATTTCATAAAACTGCTTATCACAAAGAAGTTTGCTTAGCAATCACCTGTGACGGGCCAAAATGTCATGTGATGTATATTGCTCGTGACTGGTACCCAGCTGGTACCCGCTTAGCAGATCCATGAATTTGGTGCTTAGTGGCCGCCATCTTGCCTGACCCCTTCAAACTTGTTCATCACCGTCAAACCAGCCTGCAGCAACTGCTGTCTGATTTGCCGCCCGGTTTCAGTGGGGATTCGTCGGCTTCAATGCTTCCGATACGATTCCTTTTCTTTCTGATCTCTTTGTTCCGGCCTTTAGTCGGTTTGGTAGCGGCGGCGTTGCTGTTCAAGTCCGGGCCGTTCTTCCCGCCCAAGTTGGAACTGTCTCGCTTCAGCTGCTTCTTCACCGGCGAGCCGTTCTGAATGTTACTTTTGTCCGAGTCTTTGGGGATAATGTACAGATTACTGTCCGAGTGGCTTAAGTTGTCCTTTTTGGACCATGATTTGACCGCGTCTGAACTTGGGTCGTCGGAATCACTTGGGGTGGTGTTATTAGGATCGATGGCAAACTTGCTGATACTGTAAGAGCTAGAGGAATTGGACGAGTTCATGCTCAAGTTGCTCTGTTTGAGGCTCTCTCGTAGTTCGTTGCTCTTCTTCCGCTCGTAGGCGTTACCGTTGTTGCCCGGGTTACCGCCGTTGCTGTCACCGCCGGTACCCCCTCCGGAGCTGTTGGATCCAGTGTACTTACCCCCTGTGCCACCTCCGGGGCCGTTGTTGCTGCCCGCGCCGCTACTGCTGCCGCCATTCGGCGGACCGTCTTTGCTTCCCCGTCGCTGACCTTTGGGAGGAATGTCGAATTTCTCGGAGCGTCGGCGCGTGTCAGTGTCATCGTCGCTGGCGTCGGAGGAGCTGTAGCCCCCGCGGGCGGCCATCTTGGTGCTGGTCTTGATCTGGTGGGGCGTGTCCTTGGACGGGACGGTCTTGCGATGGCGGATCTGTCGGGTTACTAGGAGACTGTCCACTCCACTGGGCCTTTCATCGTCTGACTCCTGCTCGTCTGTAATAAAACAAAACAAAACAAAAAACGAAGACTTTGTAAGTTTGAGTCCAAATTTTCAACTTCTTTGAGCTTCCAAACACAAAACTTTACTAAAAACAAAATATTTTGCTGAGCAGAAAACATTAATTACCAGCAAAAATGTCAAATGCTGTATGCTGTTTGTGAGACTCCTTAAAATGATTTCATACAGAACCACACAATTGTTCAAAAAGAAAGTCTATCCAGTGAAAATGGATTTGTTTCCCCCTCTGTATTTCCATTTTTTTCCAGAAGAAATCTAACTGGTGAACAACATTAATGAAAAAAGAAAACACTGAATATGCTCAAAGTGGTCAGAGGAAGCTTGTTATGGGATGACGCTTTTTCTGCTTAGAGCAACACAGACAGCATCAAAAACACAGCAAACTAAGCATGCAAAGCTGTTCAGTTATAGCAAAACTACCTGAAATGAGTGAAGAAAGAAAGTTCTTTTATCAAACTCTCTCCAAAGATGTGAGAGTAAAGACTGGTGATGCTACATAGCAGTTCCAATAGGTTCTTTCTTTTTAACTATGCCAATTTTAAGGTAAAAAGATCATCTTTAAAGGCAAATTGTGATTACAAGCTTTTGGGGAGAATTTTATCGTTTTTTTCCCCTCACGTTATTTTATTAAGGCAGCTTGATACTTTCTCAAACTTTAAAAAACCTTACTGACGTGATGAGTTCCTGCAGGTAATATACATTAACCCTTACTTCCCCAACTCCATCAGAATCCATCCCCCCATTTTGGACATTTTGGTAGACAAGCCATGAGTACCAAGTCCATCAAAATCCACCTATAGTAGTGGTGGTCTTGTGGTGGATTTAAGTGGATTTGGTCTTTAACCCTAACCGAACTCAGCCCATCAAAGCCCAACAGCAGGTTTTGTGGAAATCTGTTGGGATAGGTACAGTACCCCTAAACTGATGGTCTTTTACATTGGGTTTGGCATACCTCCAGAAACTAAGTCCAACAGTGTGTGTGTACGATTTCCAATGTGGGTGTTGGAATTTGACAGGGTGGGTACGGTTCCTAGTAAATTATGCTAGGGAGCTAGGGTTAAGCATCATGTGAAGCAGGGTCGGTGTTGGATTTTGGTGGACTTGGTCCTGTACTTATTAAAAGACACCAGGGATTAGGGGTAAACCTCTCACTGTTCAGAATTCACTATCACCGAAATCTCAATTTGAAACTTTTCTGACTTCAATCTCATTCTGTGGAAAAAGGTTCAATATACGCATCTATTTAAATACGCATGCCAGCTTTATCTGAAATGAGTGGAAAGAACTACGTGGCAAAGCATGGAGCATGGTTGTGACTATGAGTTAATGGAGCAACAAGTACACAGATGCAACTGAATATGATGAAACAAAATCTACTTTTATGCACATGCTCAAGTTATCAATTACTTTGAAGGGGCCAGTTCATTATTATCTTCATGAAAGTTTAAATAAGGGAATAAATATATGCTTAGCCAGTTTTATGGCATGTTTAAAACTGGCTAGGAGCCTGGTTGTGGATAATGGCCCAAGCCGAAGGCAAGGGACATTATGGGGTTAAAAAGGGACAAAATTTTAACAATTTCGTTCAACAACTTTACTTCATGTTTTATCAAACACCCCTCTGGCCATGTCTACGGTATGTGCCTCGCAGGGGTAGTGCTAAATATCTCCTTATATGGAAATTGGCGTGTACTGCATGATGTGGCACAGAACGCAGCGGCGTTTTATCAGCGGTTTGAAACCACCCACCTGACAGGCTCTCGACCAATAGGAAAGGGTAAACTGTCTCAGGTATTTATGAATGAAGTTTCAGGAATCAAATCCTGAAGGGCAAAACCTAATTTGATTTACATCACCCTAACGTAAAATTCCATCTTACGAATAGGAATCAAATCCTGTTGAAGATGCAAACTTTCTCCTAAGAGCAGTGACGTGTCTTTTTTATATTTCTAATTTCTGCAATCTTTATACAAAATAAATATTTAAATGGAACAAAAACCCAAAGTAAATGAACTGTAGAAAATATCTGTGAATATAACATGTACTTGATGAACTTACAAACGTTTTGTTAATTTGGAAAATGTCAAGTGATTTGACAATGTACAGAGAGGATACACAGTGGAACATATGGAATCATGCGCAGCAAAGTGCTCATCTCAAAATAAAAAGGGGTGCCATAAAAGAAACAAAATCTTGCAGTGTGCTTCTGCCAAATAAACCAAAATGAGTACATGAATGCTCATAACCATAATGGTCATTGGGAAGGATATTGGGGGGAAAAAAATTCAATAAACTTTTGATGTGATATGTCGATTTGTGTTTGCCGTCAAATTACAAGTCAATAAAAGGAGATGAACAATTGATGTACCAGGGCATGTGATCACTAAGCCTTGGTCAAGGCATTCGACGATAGAGTCCGATGATCGATGTTTGGCTGCGAACAATGCACTCACGTCACACGTACTGTGCCAAGCCTGACCTCACGCGGCTAGGCTACACTATGCAAATCAGGTGGGGCCGAATGAACGCCTTGGAACAACCATAGTGATGGCTTGTCTTTTTCGGCAATTTTCGTTATTTTGTCGCTGGCTTTATATCGAGTTATATTGGGTCTGAACACTCCAAAATTGTTGGAGAACGTAGCCACACTATCCAGCTCTATGTTCACGTAAAATATGGGCCTCCACGACCAAGCACTGAATATTAATCTCATCTTTATACACATACGGGGTAGTCGCTCGAAATCCAGAGACAAAATAGAGAAAAACCAGAAAGTCAAACACCATGGATGATTCAAGGCGTTCATTCAGCACCAGGGATTTGCATATTGTAGCCTAGCCGCGTGAGATTGCTGTTTGCGCTTCATACCGTATGTACGTGTGAGTGCGTAGCCTGTGGCTGCTGTGTATGTTAGCGGCCGACCATCGACCATCGGACACTACCGGTGAACGCTTTGACCAAGGCTAGTGATCACTGTACACTCACGAGGCCCTCTTCAATGGAGAAACCATTGTGCATGCTATCATACAAAGCAACTGCCCCGTGACGGATCATCTGTACAAAAGCTAGCGCAATGCTTTGAGCCATTGAAGGGGGCCTTCGTGATGGAATTGATACCATGCCCAGATTGGTTGATTGGATATGCCACTGTTACAGTGCATTTGAATAACTCGTCACTTGACTTGAGACTGTGATAATTTGTGATGGGTTATGACAACTTGTGATGTCTTCTGACAACTTATGATCACTTGTGATTACTACATTACAACTCTGGTTCACTGTCACCATGACTTCAGCTTCACTGTTTTACAAACTTTCTTTGCGTGTTTGTTTGTGTATGCTTTAACCTAATTCCAAAATCGCCCAACATCACTTTTATAAAACCCTCTCTTCTCTCCCTCTGCACCCCCTCAAACAAAAAAAAAAAGAACAGTCCTAAGAATGTCTCCCAAGAAGTCATACATGTAAGCAGCGCCCTGCCATCATACACACCTTCTTCTTCGGTAATCTGATTCAGAACCGTCGGGTTGAGACGCGTGCTCTGAATGTTGGGCCTGGCGTTGTTAGTCCCCTGCGATCGACGATTCTTCCCCCACGATCCGTCTGCCGACGAAGACGGCGAAATCATCGGCTCCTCGGTAGATTCCAGTTCCTCATCGGCAATGTGCTGAAATTCTTCTTCCTGATTCCCAGTTTTTACCAAAAATATGTGCGCAGAGTTCAGGGGGGGAAAAAATAGGGCAAAAGGGGGCAAAACATAAGCATGGAAGCGTGGATATGAGAATATGTTTGGTGAATTTTTTTTTATTTTCAATTTAAAAAATTTCAAATTTTTGTATTGTAAGATTGAAAGACAATTTTCAAATGTCACACAAGGACCTTCAGGATTTATTGATCTGAAATGTGATAAGATGAACTGGGAAGGAGTTTGCATCCATCATAGATAGTCATCTGCCACCAAATGTTACAACGTTGCACCCATCACCGGAATACTGACTGGTCTCTTACTGTTTTATAAGTTACAAGGACCCCGGACAACTTTGGGACAATGTCTAAATAAAATGATGCCTCTATTCTATCTATGTAAGCCGCTTGAACGAAGAGGTAGTGAGTGAAGGAACGGGGAAGGGGGTGTTGAAGAGGTTGCATGCGTTGTCAATACAAAAGCAATAAATACACAGCAGCGTTGGGGGGAAAAACGTGGGTGGGTTAAAATTAGATTTTGGAACTCACAACGGTGAAGTAGTGATTATTTGATTTCTCCGGACTACTTCATTGACCGATACAATCGTGACTTACTTCTAGCGATTGCAGCCCCTCTTTGACGATGCTCCGCCCATGCCGTGGGTGGATGGTCAGGTGTTCTCGTTCCATGCGGTGCCGTCGCGGACTGCACGAGACCTCCTCTTCGGAGTTGGACCTCGCCATGGCTGCCAGGGCCGGGGAGGCGGCTAGCGGGGGCAAGGGGATGCTAATGGGCTTGGAGACGGGCTGGGTGGTGACTGGCGAGCAGAGGTGACTTATGTTGTTATTGATGGGTTTGTCCATGGTTGGGTGGTCGGGAAGTGGAGTTCTGAAGTAAAAGTAAAACAAATTCTTGCAAGTGAAGTTTTTTTTTTTTAAAGTCATAAATACATTGTAGAGAGAAGAAATGTCAATATGAATAACCATACATGTAGATGCAGTATTAATCTTCCTATGCAAACATACATTCTGTGCCAAGTTGTCCTTTCAGTCAAAAATCAATCAAGTGACTGTTTTCAACAGTTAAGAATTTCCAGCCTACATAAAGCAGGATTGACTGGCTGGGACAGTTTAGGTAACTTGATACAGCTATGCTTTGACTCCCGGTGAGTGATAAAACAGCTGTGATAAAACTGCCTTGTCTGTTGCCCCAGTTTGACTAGTCACAGTACTTGCTTGACATATGATCTGACTGATAGTGACTAGCCTTTGTTAAAAGTATAGCAGGGGAAGTGGAAGTGAATTTGACTGTCTGTGACTGTTTAAACAACAGGAGCGTTAAACATAATATAAAAATATTCAATTATTTCAGGAAGTACAATGCTCCTGTAAGTCTAAAAAATTTACGCTGTTTGTTTTGATTTGTTTATTTGGTTTGTTTATTTGTTTTTTCCCCAAATAAATGCAACAGTTCTCAACAGTCCTAAATAAACATTCAAACCCCAGTACTATACAGGAATTCCTGAAAGGAAAGCCACAATGAAAATGACAAAAATGAAATTAATTTATCAGTATCCGCAATCCATGTACTATGTTAAAATCAATATTAACAAAAGGTAAAATACAACATTTGCTTTTGTTGTAATTTTCAGAAATGGACGGATATGGGGGTTAGTATTTTATAGCAAATATTGTTACACTGACCTGTTTAAAGTTTTGTGTTTTGTGTTCATAGATGCTGAAAAACCAAGAAAAAATGCTGTTCTTGCAGTCTGGTTCCCCGAACCTACTTCTGTCGGGGAATTGTCGGGTCAGGGAACCAGACTAGCTGGCTTGCGCCCATTCACGGATGTGTAACCGATTGCAAAAAAAGTGTGAACTAACTACATTTGGTAAACTGGGGGCAGTATTTGAAAAACAGTCAGTTTTTTTCCAACCATGGCCGGCCAACCATAGGTTGGAAATTGATACAAAAATTCCACTTTTCTTGAAAATGACAGCACACCAGGTGCCATGATTTCACAGGATGCTTGAGACTAATATTCACTTACAGTCAAGTAAGGTATTTCATAAGAATTTGGTGGTTTTGTTTTTTGATGTTTGCAAATGTTGTATATTACCTTTAAAAACAACTGTTACTTTTTCCCACGTAGGAGTAAAATACTGCATTGAGAGCACTGTTACAATTATGTGGATCACTGCCAAACACATATTATTGATGGGGCTTTCAACAAATCTACCAAACGAAAATTTCCTGTGTGCATGATTTAATCTTACATTAAGGCATACTAGTCACTAATTGTAATAAATTATGCTATTGAGACGATTAATTAGCATTGGAAAACAGAAAACCAAACAATTATATGGATAATTGACAAGTGATGTTACAGGAGCATATTATTGGTTTTAATACACCAAAGGTGTTCTGCATTCTGTTTCTTAAATATCAGTAGTTACAATGAAACAAACATTTAAAACATAGGGCCAAATTAACCCTGCTGAATCCAACAGGATCCAACTATATCATAAACCCGTTGGAGCCTGTTGGATTGAGCAGTAAACCCCTTGTACAAAAGTACATGTACATATTCAGAGTCAGCTTCTGTTGGGTACTGATTAATAATGCCAAGCTGGATTCTGTTGGATTCAACAGACAACTAAAAATAAGGTACAGTTGGATTCTGTTGGATTGAGCAGGAAGTAACCGTTGGACTCTGTTGGATTTAGCAGGGTAGTCCTGAGGAACCCTTAGGGGTAAGGGTTAAGGGTTAAGAATGGAAGTTTTGAAGAATTTTTTTTTTCTTATGGATTGTTTTTTTTGTTTTTACAAAATCAGAAACAAACACAAAATGCACAACCAAATTAAGGTAATCAAATTCTGTCCAGAAAAAAAAATCATAGTTATTAATAGTGGCTAGTAAACGGTAAAATTAAGAGTCGAGAAATTGAGACCAAATTTGTACTTACTAATTTTAAGCTTTTGTGGAATTCTTTCCAGCTTTTAAGTTAAAAATAAAGATTTTTTTTACAGCCAAAAAAATCAATTAGAAAGAGCAGTCTAATGCATTTTGTTGAAATTTGTGATCATTTTTGTGAAAATGTTAACCTAGACTGATGAAACCGAGTGGCCCAATGAAAAAACGTAATCTTAGGGGACCTAGCATGTAAGCATTTTGACAGCATCTTTACTAATATTACTCCTATTATCGCTGCCATCGCAAAGCAAAACAATTTTTAGAAGCTTTTTTTACAAACTTCGACAGTCAAGACAGCAGCAGGGCTGTGACTGGTTGAGATGGGGTTAAGGTGGGTGGGGATGGGATGGAGTGGGGTGGGGTGGGGTGGGAGTAGGGATGGGTTGGGGTGGGAGTAGGGATGGGGTGGGGTGGGAGTAGGGATGAGGTGGGGTGGGAGTAGGGATGGGTTGGGGTGGGAGTTGGGGTGGGGTGGGAGTGGGAACGGGGTGGGAGTGAGGGTTCTAGGTGGGTTTGGGACATGTTGCTGGGGCGGGTTAGGGTTGGGTGGGTTGGGTTGGGGTGGATTGGGGTGGATTGGGTAGGATGGGTGTTGTGGGGTGGGGTGAAGTAGGATGCAGTGGGGTGTGGGGTTCTGTGTTGGGATGGGGGCTAGGTCATGATGGGTGGAGATGGGCGGGGGGCTGGGGGAGGGGAGCGGAGGTGTTTTTTTTTTCTCACCTTGGGGAGAGTGCCAAGGAAGCAAGCTGTGGCTGGACAGAGGAATGCCTCCTTAGACTGTTATCTTCGGCCTTCAGGTCGCTAACCGCGCCGACTTGCTTCTTGAGTTTACGCTCAGCTAGCAGGAAGTAGGTGGCCGTGATGTGGTCATAACTGTCGCTTTCTAAGGACCTGGAAGAAAGGTTTGAGAAAAAAGAAATCAAAGAATGTTTTAGATTTCTTTTTCCGATGTTCTTAAAATAGGTCCTCTGCATATGATCAAAAGAGGATGCGACTAAAGAAGAGGGTGTGCAGGACGCATAATTTTTTTATTTGGGGAAAGAAAACTTGTGAATAAAGACAAAACATCCAAACATCCAAGCCCTCAAATTAAAGTTGAATTTAGAGTTAAACAGTAAAAACCTGCCATTAATGGACGTTAGGTTAAGCGTGCATGTGTCCAAGATATTATTGTAAACAGCGCCACCTAATGTTGAACGATGTCCAGCTCCTCCTCTCTTGAATTTGCAAGGCAGCGGGATTTTTCGCAGAGTCATCCCCTAATTGTCAACACAGACCTACGCCGCTGAATGTGATTCGCACTTTGGTTGCCAAAACAATGAAACAATTGTCCCTGAATAATTACCAAAGCCGTAAATAACATCGCGGCCTCAAGGGAAACAGTGGGGCTCTAAGCACGCATCAGACATGTGGCTACCCTGGAAACGACAACAGGTACTTCCTGCTTTACTTCCTGGTCAGATTGCTCAATGTTACATGTACAGACTTGCACGTAGGTACAGAGACGATTTTAGAAGATGTGCACGTTACTGACATGTGAAGTATGGTTAAGGACCATGGAAATCAGGGGCGGATCTAGCTTTCAGGAAACGGGAGGGGGGTTTGATATAAAGGGAGGGGGGTGATTGAGTGTAAAGCATGCCCTGTTAGGGGGGTCCAAGGGCCTGCCACCGGAAAAGTTTGAAATCTGCATTCTAAGACAATTTGAGAATAAGTTTACGAACTTTAGCATTCCATTTAATATTTGGCCCCCTTTTACTAGTGTCATAACATTAGTCAGCTCGGCTGAACCGGGTGGAGGGGGGGGGGAGGAAGTGACAGTTATGGACCCCCCCCCCCAAAAAAAATCCTCAATCTGCTACTGGAAATTCTTTGCAAAATGAATTCCACCAACCATAAAGATGGTAATTCTTCTATGAACAGTTACATAATGAGTAATTCTTTGAGAAAATTATGTTCTTAACTTTATTGACGGGGATGCAATTTTAACTGAAACTAATTTTTCTGGATTTCAATTGTGTTCATTTGTCAGCTCAAGAAATTAGGTTCCATTTTTTCCCATTGCTAACAAAAAATGCAGGAAATGACTGAATGTTAATTTGAATAAAATCAATCCATTTCCTCTCTCATAGCTTTTGTACAGGCTAGTTGCCAAACAGGCAGAACCCCTACAAATTAAATGACATAACTGTCACAACCAGTTGCAGGGGTTTGATAGACAGGGTGTCATTGAATACTGCTACAACTGTTACTTCAATTCTATAGACCTTATGCATAGCAGCCATCTTAGAGGGCAATGCCTCTCTTTTGCTGGAATCTGCATGAATGAACCTTTTGTGCATACATTGTTACAGAATTCAATTAATTATTGCCAGGCACTCAGCAGGGGCCTCGTAGCCGAGCGGTTAGAGCGTGGAGCTACGGAGTGGAAGGTTGGCGGTTCGAATCCCATTCGGACCAAAACCTGGAAAACTCTCTCTGACGACCCAACAGTAAAATGGGTACCTGATTCGTTCAGGGAAGGTAAGACGGCGAGAGGAGAGGACTGGGCACCGCCGCTCATATGCCGCGCCCAAGACACAGTGGACCTTTAACATCCCACTGCCCCTACGGCCAATAATGGCTATGGGATCTTTACCTTTACCTTTTTTTACTCAGCAGTACTTAAATCCACCACATCTACATGTATTACTGTCAGTCAAGGCATGGTACCCTCAGTTAACAAAATTGCCACAGCCTGTCAATGGCCCTTATTCACGAGGAAGCCATTTTGGTCGTGTTCCCTGAATGCATTTTATAAATTGTGAACTGTTGAATGGGATGGTGCCAGACTATGCATTCTTGCCTTACTTTTTTATTTTTATTTTAATGTGGCTTTTTTAATGTAGAGTTTGTTTAGGCCAAAAAAAAAAAGTCTCCGGTTTCTGGTATGCGCGCGCGTCGCCGTAGCCATGCGCGTCGGCAAAATGAAAAAGTTTTTTTTTCAATGAAAGATGATGTCTCAAAACCGCCAAACTCACTGGTTTGACTGGAATCATGCTGCTGCAGAATTTTAAGGTGTTTTTAGATTGGGTTATGGTCGAGAATAAGCTTTATGTGGCCTCTCTGGACTCCCATATATTTGCACTAAGTTTAGTCGGGCACCATTTGCAGTCATCAGCCGACATTTGAAGCAAAAAAATCAGGTAAAAAAAAAAAAAGCCGCGTCGTCACACTACTTTTTGGGCAAGCTCCATACCAGAAACCGGAGACTTTTTTTGGCCTTAGAAGACAAACAAAGGACGCTCACAGGGGGAACGGAATGATAGAAACGCGTTAAAGGGAATGAAACGAACTCCAGTGATGTGCACTGAATGAGACACAATAGCATGAATCTGGCAAAGGGACAGATACAATGAGCATACAGGATGGAATAATACTTTATTTATTCAGATTAATTGGTAAAAACACCTGTCTCCCAAAAATACAACTATCCAATTAAAAGTAGTATACCAAATTTGATTAAAAACCGTCCAACAGAGTAAAAATACATTAACAACAATAATTCCCTTCATTACAATAATTCCCTGAATAATATGAAAAATCTGTGCGACAATTACATGTAGTCGTGTATATTATAATTATTTTGAGTTGCATTATAACAGTGTGTTAATTATCTCAAATTTCTGAAAGATTAACGAAATACAAAGTCAATTGCAAGACTGAGCAGGAAAATATATACTAGAAAAACTGCATAGTTATATTTCTACAGAAATTCTATTGATAGAGGATAGTCGTTGTGTTTTCCAAGCTTTTGATAGCATTTTTTAATACAACCGTTGAATGTCAATGAATTGAAAAATAAAAGTTTTGAATTTATGGGACGGAGCAGCGTTTTGTGCATTTTCACTTTGACGTAGGCCATGATGACATTTCATGCCAGATTGACTTATTCCTTAAACTTGAGCACCCTTCGTATTTCTTAGACCTCATGGGTAGACTTTATGAGTATAGCGGCCATCTTATAGGGCATCCTTCGTTATTTTAATTCAGTAACAATGAGTGCTTAAAAGGTTTATTTCTGGTATGTCACAGCAAGACAAATGTATTGCCTTGATGACTGCTACCTATAAGGTCCATATACGCCTTTTTTGAAATATTGTGGGCAAGAGAGAGCGCCTTTTTTTCAGTGGGTGACCTCTCTTGTATATTCACCCCGCAAATGTATTATGTTATGTTATTTATTTTTTTAAAATTATTTCATTGAAAATAAAACATGACAAAAAATAAAAAGCCCCGCTTCCTCTTTTTTTTTCAAATACCCGGACGAGAAACATGGTTGTTTTTATTCGGCCTAAGGAGCCTGCCGACAGGTTGCTTGTATGAGGCTGCATCCTAAAGCCAAAAAAAAAAAAGTCTCCGGCTTCTGGTATGCGCGCGCGTCGCCGTTGCCATGCGCGTCGGCAAAATGAAAACATTTTTTTTTTCAATGAAAGATGATGTCTCAAAACCGCCAAACTCACTGGTTTGACTGGTATCATGCTGCTGCAGAATTTTAAGGTGTTTTTAGATTGGGTTATGGTCGAGAATAAGCTTTATGTGGCCTCTCTGGACTCCCATATATTTGCACTAAGTTTAGTCAGGCACCATTTGCAGTCATCAGCCGCCATTGGAAGTAAAAAAAATCAGGTAAAAAAAAAAAAGCCGCATCGCCGCACCACTTTTTGGGCAAGCTCCATACCAGAAACCGGAGACTTTTTTTGGGGGGGGAGGGCCTTAATCAGAAATTTGTATTCATCAGAGCAGACTGGTATTAATTTGTAATTAACTTTGTGTCATTGCTTTTCTTTCCCTTTACAAGTTCCAAAAATTAAGATTTTACCTCGCTTTCAATTTAATATGGCCGACTCGTGAATAAAGCCCATTGAACCATTATGAGCCCAATTTACAAAACTGTTAAAAACTGTCACTTGATAGATTTTGACTGGTAGGGTAACTCTCTCTATTCGTCACAGACAGAGCGAGGGATTATTCAATTTCAAAATCAGTGTTTGAAAGAATTTCTTTGAGGTAAAGAATTACATTTCAACTTTCTTCAATAAGCCATTTTGGAGTTACAAAAATGTACTACTGCGCATGCGCACATCCCATGACAACGATTAGGGTCGGGGGATAAACAGTTCGCCACACGCGTGCAAAATCATAGCGGGGTACCAACGAAATCAAAGAAAAGTTCTTTTCTTTTGAAGTAGATGCAAAATGTTGATTCGATGATTGTTTTCAACGGCACCATGGTTTAAGATGTTTTGTATTCTCCAACTTTTGTGCGAACAAATATATCCATCTTCTGTTTTACTAGAACAAAATTGCAAAATGTGGATTTGGTTACCACGTCCCCCATAGACTTGTGTGCATTTATCTGCTTTGTTTATCTTCCGACACTAAATCGTTGAGTCTGATGTGCGCACGTGCAGTAGTACATTTTTGTAACTCCGAAATGGCTTATAGAGTGCATGTTATGTACAATGTACATGTAACTTGCTGCAAGCTTTTCCCAGGCAAATGGAAGTACCCCCTCTGTTGACCAAATTCAACCAGTTTCCTCAAATGTCAAGAGCCTACATGTACATGGTTTCACATTATGCGCCCATGTACATGTACATGCACACTTGCCCACACGTTTCGTAGGATTTATGCAAAGCCCGTTCCTGGAAATATTTAATGTATATTTTCCGGTGGATATTTTTGCCCACGACAGGGTGTTTTGTGTAGGTGTAATAAGACTTGACATGGATGAACATGAAATTGGGAAAAACATTTTCAGACATACGAGTTAATCATTGTATCTATGCAGATTGTCTGTTGTTTTATTTTTTAAGTCTTAATTTTGACATTTAAAATGGAATTCATCATATCGTTATATTTTTCCCCCCTTATTTTAAATGAATCATTCAGACTCTCAAATATTTGACATGGTCTTCATTCTAATCAATTCGGTTTCAAAATAATGAATTGTTTAAAAATACTTGGTTGTCTATAAATTGTAACGAGAGTACACTTAGTCACTTCTTTTTTTCACACAGTGAATTCATTTGTATCAGCATTAGCATACATAAGCTTATAGTTATAATGCAGATTTAATAGCCAGATTTCATCGTGCTGCTAAGCACACAATTTTCTGCTTTAATACAGAGCCTCCCACTTACGTAACACGAACAAGGAGCATGATAACTTAGGCACGATATGCTTAAAAATTTTGACGCAACAATATAAATCTTTGCGTGCAAACACGAGCATGTCCTTGCTGTGAAATACGCTTGAAACGACTATGACTCCAATACGACTCGGATTCAGACTAGTAGAACTAAGATTTTTGAGACTCAGACTAGGGCGTGGACAATAGGACTCGGACTGGGACTCATGTTTCTAGGACTTGGAGCGCAGACTGGAAGGACACAGACTCAAATATAGGACTCAGACTCGGACTTGGAATTGGACATGAACTCCAGTTTGATTTGTGAGACGTGGACTTGGACTTGAATGTGGTGGACTCGACTATATGACACTGCTTTTAAAGGCATATTTAGTGGATCATTTGCATATAGGATCATTTGCATATTATAGGATCATTTGTATTCCCAAAAGTAACCCACCATATTATTATCAAAAGCTGACTTGGATTAAAGATCGTACTGATGCTAAATACTCCGTGAAATTATTCTGTCGACTCTTGGCTTGCTGTCATTTAGAAGAAATCAAGCAATGTAGGCGATTTCCAGCGTTCAGTCAATTGACTGATTTTTGGGAATAAAGAGTGATATGGACGAAATCGTGTTTCGTGATCAAAAGGGTCTGCGTTGTTTTTCCACTGTTTTCTTGAAAAGTTTAATATCCACTGAGCTGAAACTTCAACAGGTTAGGTTTTGAAAGTTCTTCTTTGAATTCTGAGTGGTGTTATTATATTGGAAACGAACAAAATGCATGAAAAGCAAAAATGTTGCTATAGGCCCCCCCCCCCCCAAAGTCTCCGGTTTCTGGTATGCCCGCGCGTCGCCGTAGCCATGCGCGTCGGCAAAATTAAAACTTTTTTTTTTCCCAATGTAAAATGATGTCTCAAAACCGCCAAACTCACTGGTTTGACTGGAATCCTGCTGCTGCATAATTTTAACGTGTTTTTAGATGGAGTTACGATCGAGTATAAGCTTTATGTAGCCTCTCTAGGCTCCCATATATTTTGCACTAAATTTAGTTGGGCACCATTTGCAGACGGTGTTGTAATTTTGTAATTGTGCGTCTGGAAGCCAGACTGACGGAGCGATGGTTGTGTATCTGGAAACTGTAAACGCTTTTTAATTAATTAGCTCAATATACTTCTCAAGCCTTATGGCCTTACTGAGGTCACCTCAAGCTGCACTCTGAAGGATATTTTGAGAGTTTTAAGGGGATCAAAGCGTCATCTGCAACATCAGTTGACATTTGAAGAGGAAAAAAAGTTGGGTGGGTAAAAAAAAAAAAAAAAAAAAAAAAAAACCCATCGCTGCACCACTTTTGGGCCAAGCTCCATACCAGAAACCGGAGACTTTTTGTGTGTGGCCATATATGCCTTAAACCTCCCCTACTTACTTGATGATGGTAGCCATATCGGCGACATTCCCGCTGATCATCCTCTCCACGATGCTGTCGTGCACGCTCTTGGTGATGTCGTGCCTGGTGATGAGGGGCTCCATGGGCTTGGCCTCCCCGCCCTGCTTCAGCCAGGAGCTGTTGAAGATCTGCTCTAAGGTTAGTCTCTTCTCAGGGTCACGCTGCAGCATGCTGGAAATGAGACTAATACCAGAGACAAAGAAAAGTCTATGAAATTGACAAGTACTGTATGAGATGCAACAGACACAGTTAATTTTTTCTTGGGGGGGGGGGATGCTGGGATCTATATGGGAACCCAAAGATTTCAATTGTTCAAAGCATTTACCAATATTCTAATTGAATGTTGTAATTTAAAGGCAATATTTGTCAAGTTTCTCCACTCTTCAATATTTAAAAAACAAGTTGTCCTCAACATTTTCAGAAAAATAAGGTTCCCAAAACTACATAAATCCTTTTTTTTTTAGCCGTCTTCCTTTTTTAAAAATTAACATTATCGTATCCCCTGCTTTTGATCACTAAAGCAAGTAGCACTTCACAATTTTTTTTAAAGGATCTACGATGATTGTTACCGTGACATTTTCTACAACAAATGAACTTCCCTAAGTGTCTTCCCAGAGCTTCCAGAAATTTTAACAAATATTAAAGCTGTTAAAAAAAAGGCAAAACATTTCAGGTTGGTGCCTTTCTGAAGTGGACTTGAGCCAGAATAGAGGAGGACACAGAGTGCTATTAAACCCATCCACTCCAAGTGCATTTTTGAAATCTCGGCAATGTCTCCAGTATCGGCTCCACCACTGGCTTCAGAAACCTTTGGGAGCACTTAATGTTCAAATGGACAAATTCCAAAAATGGAAATAGTAAGACCAAAACCCAATAAAAATAGTCTAGACTATTACCTCAAATATGCAAGGATTCACTGAGCCAGTTTCCCTAAAGTCAGGGCCCAAAAAATATCTCCTTGAGCCAAACACAAAGATAAAGCCCAGGTTTCAAAAACACCGTAGATAAAGAGCCTTGTACTTTAAATGTGACAGGATCTATCTGAAAGCACACTCTGACACCAAATTACGCCGTCTGCAAGGCCATGGACCGTGACCGGTGTGATATAACGGACACAGCTCGTTAATTTGGCAATGCCTCGTTAAATTTTGACCTGATCATGATCGGTTATGAAAGCGCCGATCCTTAAAATGGCACGGTGCGGCTGATTGGGGGGGGGGGGGGGAATCCATCCATACACCCACTCACTCAGGGTTAAATTACGGTCAAGACATCAAAAATGTTCCCAGCTATTAATATTTGCACTCATTTCTCAACCACCCTGACCATCTAGGTTTTCCTGGCAAGTCTTCTCCAACGTTTCTTTCTATTTTCAGCACTGGCATTAATTTGCTTTCCTTTGAACATGTACCCGGTGGGTATTCTTTGAATGGTTTCAAAGCTCCACTCATACAATGCTAAATTTAAGTACGCTTCAATAATGCCTTTCCCACACATTGTGAATACACTTGCACTCATGTCACGATCACTGATTACTTAGGTTTTCCCGGAAAAGTCTTCTCCAACAGTTTTTTCCTATTTTCAGCACGGGCCTGAATTTGCCTCCCTGTGTACATGTACATGTACATGTAGGTATTCTTTGTATGGTCAAGGTTCACTTATACAATTTGTATGGTTTCCTGAGCAAACGATATTATAAATCCCTGTTGTTGTTTTTAATCTAAAATATAAAATACAGGGAGTGGGCAGACCTTTTAATGAAACAGACACATACATTGTCATAATATGTATCCTAATTAAGTTTTATTTGAGATACATGTATCTGTCAATGTGAAGTTGCTTCTTTTTCTTTTCTTTGTTTTTTGGGGGGGAGGGGGGGCGGAATGCACAAACAAAATTACTCTCAAGTCTGATGTGTGCACCGACAACAATGAAAAATCAGAATCACCAAAACGGAACAAAACAGACAAACAACATTGTGCCGAACAGAACACTGAAGTGCAGTCAATCTATTTTTTCATTTCTTCGTTCGTTTTGGGTTTGGAGAAAAATGTCCCCTTAGGTGTCTGGGTTTTCTGACTACCCGGGAAACGAAGCAGCCTGCAACCCTGGGCTGATTATGCATACGGTGAGCAGACAGGAACGACAGCGTGTTGAAGTGCATGATGGTTATCGTTCGGCATTCTTGCCTTCGCCGAAGCCATCTGCTTGCACTTGAGATTGAAAGGGAAAAAAAAAAAAAAAATTCTATCGCGGAAAACCGTGGCTGAAAAAATACTGCCGACTTGGCTCCTCTGTTACCCATTTACTTTGGGAAAGACCGGATTGGAAGCGTAGTGCTGTTAATATATTATGACCAGGAAATTAAAGTGGAAAATAAGGAAGAACGATAGAAGTTGTTTTTCTGCCTTTTTTTTTTTTTGACTACCTACAATCATCGGAGAAATGTTCCAGAAACAGCCAACCGTCAATGGAAATTACTCCCAATATGGCTACTCCAATATATTCATTTATTTTAGGAGAGGGACCAGTTTGAGTGTAGGGCTATTTATAACCGAGAAAGGGGGAAAGTGAGACAAGAGGGAGAAATATAAAGGAAGTTGGTTTTTGAGAATCTTATTAGATGTGGTTCGGCAATGGCCGACCATTGCTAAAAACAAAACACTGCCAGATTGGCTCTTCAAGTTACCATTTATTTTGAGAAACTAAGGACGGGCTCTGAAGTGTAGTGCTGTTTAATAATATTTCATGACCGAGAAAGCGGAGTTGTGAAAAAGAAAAACAGAAGAGAAGAAAAAGAAAGACAAGCTCAATTCTGTTTTTGGACTTACTTTCTACACTCTTCGGAGATGTGGTCCGGCAGGTAGTATTTACAATCCATGATCATCGTTAACGTTTCGCTGTCGTTTGTTTCATTAAATGGAGGCTCACCACAAACCAACATGTAGAGGAGAACTCCGAGGCTCCAAACATCTGCAAGGAGACAAAAAAAGAAAGAAATACATTTCTTGAGGGGTGGACTTTTGTGAGTGCAAATTTGGTTGATTTTGAAGAATTGTTAAGAAATGCTGCAACGTCAGCCAGAGGGTGACAATACATGCAAAAACTGCTTGAACAAAAAACTTAACTAGCACAATAAATGTCAAAGCATATAATTATGCACTCCAAATGCACAACAGTACAAAATCTGTCAGAACAAGCACGGCAAATGCCCGCCATATATTTCAACTTCTGATAATTTCGCCCTTCAATAGTCTATAGTATCCAAACTTTGCAAGTTAGCACGGCTTTAACTTCAGGGGAAAATGTTCAAGAATCGTCATCTAGACTATAAAGAATTGTCAAATATTTAAAAAATAAATAAACAATACTGACAAAGTTCAGGAATTGTAGAAGCCTTGTGTCATTTCTACAGTGACAAATATGCACCTAAAGCTACGTTACACTATCGTAAACAAATCCTTCAAGAAAGAAGATTTAAAACGCTGATATTTGTACATGTACAGCAAACATCTCGATCAATATGTAAGGAAAGACTTTACTCCAACATTAGTTGTCACTTACAACACATTAAATGGGCACCCTGTTTGAATGTCAATAAAAAAAAAAGAATGAAGGGAAGGCACTAAACGGGCTCTTAAATTATTGGACTTGTTGTCGCGATTCCGGTTTCCGGCTCTCATTCAAAATGTATGCAACGATCCTGTCAGCGCTGTTTTACGAGATCGTTCAGAGTGGTCATCAGTGGCAATCCACAATGATGGATATGTCGAGAGACCCAGCAAAATGAAATCCACAGGAAATGGTACTTGAAGAATAATTCGCCGATTGTACATTTGCAGACACACGTTGTCAAAATGGAAACAAACGATTTTACTGACGTCAGAAGTCTGCAGTCCAAAATTTGACTTGAGCAGAGCAAATCTCTTCTTGATTGGACAAATATGGTAAACAGTCAGAAAATTTCTGACGACTGACTTTTTAAAGTTCACCCTTGTCAACTGCAAATTCGAAGAGAGGATTATGTTTTAGAATGCCAAGTCAGTTTTGACAAGTTGACAGAATTCAGACCGCATTTCCACTGTCCGCCAACCCTTCAAGTAACAAGATTAAATATCTCCGTGATGTACAACATGACAGGCTTTGGAACGATAAGGTAATAAATTATTGAGATTTAGAGGGGGTGGGGGGGGGGGGAGGGGGAGAGAGAGACCAGAAGATGTACAGCATGAGGGATGCGTATCTTGGGTCACGCTACACCAAGCAGAAAAACCTCTAGCTGCTTGTGGATGACGAGACATATCACCTGAAATAACACAGCATTAGGTATGCCGTTGCTTGAATTTGCTCTTCTAAATAATGAATATTGAGACGTTGAAGTTGATCATGAGAAAACAAGGTTTGTACAATTTTGCTGACAGAAGACACAACGCTAAGCTAATGACCAGTTTGCGATTGGTTAAAAAGGAAAATTGCCAGTTTTTTGTTACAGTGCAGCTGAAACAGATGCACATGTATGCGCAACATCAGATAATGCCGAGACTTATACAAAAAAGGAGTCATATTATATTTGTATTGAATACATAAAAGACAAAACTGTGAGGAGTGATGGTAACTTCCTGATTTGAATTAGCAACTAAAGTCATACAAAAATAATGAACGGTATTTTCATCAATACACAGCAGCTTCCTTGTAAAAAGCAGATTTCCTTATTTTAAATCCCCGCAGAACAAATAAAAATTTTGACATACATTTGTAAATTTATACTTCAGAAATCTGCCGAACTTGTCAATGAAACCAAGGATTGTATTTGAGGATCGACTTCATCTTGGGGGGAAAATGTAACTTGGTAAAATTGCTTTTGTCCGTACACGAAACGAAGACGCCTTCGGAAGACGGAACAAATTCAACAATACATCTTTGAGAAACGAACGGTAACTTGAATAAGCGCCGTGCAAATGATGCCAAGCATACAGGGCGTGTGGAGCATCAACTACACGTATGTACGCACATTATGTGTGGCTCTACTACACTGTAGTAGAAACTCATTACTCACACTGCGTCTTGCCTTGGGGTAGTCGGCGAAATACATTAGTACATTCGCAGGTCTACAAGGCACTGCAGAATATACACACATCCATTACATGATTGTAAAGCACATGTGCATGTACACGCATCATGTGCATGCATGCATGAACCTTGAATATCCATACAGACAATAATGCTTCTAGATTCAGTAGCCTCTGAATACATTGTAAAGTCTTTGTTACGTTAAGTCGCATTTTTATAATACCAGAGCCCTTCAGTATAAAAGCTCTTTAAAAATTTGATTGTCAGAATTGATTGGGGATAAAAGTACATAATTCCGACATCAAGCAAAAAGGTTGCTGCGCAGCACTGATCAATTGTATGGAGTATGCTATTGATAAAACAGTGCTCACTAATGAAAAAGTGGAGCCAAATTTTTCGGACGGTCTGTTCTTTTTCAGCGCTGGGTAGCAACCCAGCCCAGAAGAACATTCATGTACTTCCTACATGTACATTATGTTCCTGTGTCCATGTATGTACCTGCGCCAAAAAAACCTACATAAAGGTCGGTATTGTAAGTCGCTTGTACAATGTATATATGATGAGAATTGCTGTGATCATAAAAAAAATGTGTGTATACACATCCAAGTAATTATTGTGTGTTTGAATAGAAACATGCGCATTTTAAAAAAAAAAAAATTATATTGCCTTACATGAACATGTACAAGCCATGGCAATGCACACAAAAGTGGGTACCTTAATAAACGGTTTTAGATTAACAACGAATTGTAGTCAATTTCGACCTCAAGAAAGACCCTTAATCCGAATAATCAACAACAATCTCAAAAATAACAAACAACTGTAAATAATACATGGATCCCCCCCCCCCCGAAAAAAAAAAAATTAGTGCCTTTTTTCCTTACTAACTGGCCAATCCGAAGGGAGTATGAGTGCAGGGTTGCAGAATTACGTATTCTGAGGTTTTGTGTGTGGGTGGATACAATTGTGCAGTTGTGCCTTCACATCGAAATGTGAAAGGTTGCTGCTTCAGAGTAATTCCACCCACTACAAAAACTAAATAAAGGAAAAGAGCTTTGTACGGCTAATTTCGACTTGAAGATTCCTCGGCTGTAAAAAAGAAAAAAAAAGAAAAAACATCCACTTGTCCATGTACATGATGCTTGCACAATTTTACAGTCTGCGAGAATTCTTTAGAGCATGTTTTGGCCAAATTTCCTTATAAATGTGTCTTTTGTGGCTTTTTTTTCTAAAGCATCCATGTAAGCTCTAAAAAAGTGTTTTGTCAAGATTTTAAAAAAGAAAGAAAGTCAAAATCCCTATCATAAATACATCTCTAATGGCATTTTCTGACTTCTTTTTTAACCCTTACTCTCTGAGGGTAGTTTACTGCATGTCAGTTGGTTATGCCAATGCCCTCCAGCTGCAGTTTATTGGCAGATAGTTTGTCTTAACAGTGAAGGCTCCAATTGGCAGGAGTTGGAGGCCCTGGAGGGTGCCTGATACTGACCAGCTGGGGGCACTCACTTTGTTATCAGAGGACTCTCATTGTTCTCTGTGGCATGTATTGGAGTGCCTGTCCAGTTACCCTTGAAATGACATGGCAGATATTGGAGGGCCGTGCAAAAAACATAGGAGATTTTCTTGAGGCACATATTGGCATGCGTTGGAGGGTCTAGTAGGGTAAGGGTTAATGACATCTAAGGATGTGCTTGTTACACTAACCCTCCTGCTTCAAATTTGTGAAGAGGGTGGTTTATCTAGGATTCTGCAGGATTGAGGAAGGTAGAGCTTGGCAACCCAGTACTGTTACTTTACATTTAGACTGCGCCATTGAAGGATTTTGAAGGATTTAAAGGATGGCTCCTAATGAAAATGCAAAGGGGATTTCAGTTTTAATACATCACATATTAGAAGTTTGCATGACGTTCATTTGTACATGTCCATACACACATCCACTAATTATAAACGGACAAAAATAGGTTTTCTTTTTCCCAGAATTTTGTACTCCCGGTCTCTCAGAATAAATCTTCACATCCGCTGTATGCTGAAGTATGGTCTGTTCTTTCGCCAGACTTAAATCTCAACTTGGCTGAATCATGTCCTCGGAGAAAAAAAACCTGAGGCTAATAGGTGTTGCACTTTGTATCCAAAAAAAAGAAAGAAAAGTACATGGATTATATTACAAAAAAAAAATTTCAAATTGGTTCACAGAAAAATCCAATGCCACTCTCAGAGGAACGAGATTTTGATACATTTATTCAATATATATTTCATTGATTGGGTCTTCGTTGGAAGGCTTTTGACTTTTTGGATTTGAATTTTTTGGCATTCACCTAGTGGAAATTTTACGGTTGACCAAGATTTGGAATGAGCTTAGAATGAATCTGCAATCGTCTTACATTTGAGGTACATGTACAGGAGCTTTTAAATTGAAATAAAAGATTGTAACAGACATATGAAGAATAAGAGAAAACAAGGTGCAAATGGTGTCTTTTTAATTTTGGAATCATGATTTTTTTGGAGGGGGGTGGCTCTCTTTTCTTTGAGGTCTCAATTTACTTCATCCAAACCCTAATCCTTTTATTTCCAGTTTTACTCTAATAAACCAATTAGCACTTGCATAACATTGACTTTCTCCCCCGACAAATCTATACAGGGCGAGTAAAAAACAACGAAACCCAAATGTATTTTTTAGTGAAGTTCTGCATGTAGCACTTTCACAATCTAGGATATGAAAGCCCAATTCATAAGCTTTCTTTTAGTACAAGAATCATTCAAATCATTCAGGTAATTTTCAAGTTACTGAATTTTAAACACAACCAACGTTTTAAAGTTCTGTCCATGGATCATACATGTAGAGAGGTAAGTGGCAATACGAAAACAAATCACTGTCACATAGGGATGTGTGTGAATGTTTTCCTTTT